CAGAATGGTGCTTTCCTCGAGCCACTGTCCTTCAATTGTGGGACTGTGCTCGAACCATTACCCAAACTTTGGTTGTTTGAAATATATGCAAGTTTACAAACTCGCCTAACCCAATACTTATTCTCGCAAACAGGTTTCAAGTTAACACTGTTCACAGAGCAGAATGAATACATTAGTTTGTTTGGGCAGCAATCTGGTGTACGAGTCGTGATACATAATCCAAGCACAAAACCATTCCCAGAAGACGAGGGTGTATATGTGAAACCCGGTGCAGTAAATGCTATTGCGATTAGAAAGGTGTGTATATTGTTTGATTAGGTTGTAACGTGAGTGGTACTGGAATACACTGTATTCGTACGTGTGTTGGGAAATGTATAGCGTCTGTATGCATTATCATGTCATAACAATCACTGAGACGCTTAAATCAAAGTGCTTCGCTGGAAAGACGGATATCCCCGAGTGTTGACAGGTATTCACAGCGCCTCATGGTTGTTAGCGGATTGGGGTTTCCGTGGGTTGAATAACGTATATTCACAGCACACTCCTGGTGTTGGCTGGCTGAGGTAATTTTTAGCACCGGAAAACACAATTTGAAGTGTTCACTGGTTATCGTATTGCAGACTAATAAAGCGCTCATACTCAAACATTGTATAATAACTCTCAGGTTATCTATCAAGGGGTGGGTATATGTTCTTCTGTTGTCCATGTTTGAGATTTCCCCGACATTTTACCTAAGGAGTTGTTGCTTTCTAATCTCTAACTGGTTGGCTTTTCAGAACGAACGTACACGGAAGTCTTCTCCATTCGGTAAATGTGAATCTGACTCCCCTACAAGCGACGTTGATTACAGATATTCGTCGTTGGTATGTTCGAAATTCAAGTCTCTATAAAAAACTTATAATTGTGTCGTATTTGCAATTGGCATGCCTACCGATGGGTACATTATATGACATCGTAAACAGTTTGTTTATTCGTCTGCTAAATATTTTTGTTACTGTTACAAAATGAACCATAGCCATCATTCGAAGGTCTTCAAATACATTGTGAAATACGATTACAATAACGTCTTATTTTTTTTTCAAATCGATATTGATATTATGAATTTGGCCTTTTACTGATTGGTCTCTTGTTAATATTTGGTAAAGATCTGTAGTTTTATTTTTTGTTTGTTTTATTATATTTGTTTGCATGGAGGTAGCATCCATAGCCACATAGTGTTCACCATCGGGTTATACCAAAATGCACACCATCATGCTTCCTTCACAATTCATATTTTCTAGGCATGTCAGAAACAGTGTCTACAAGATTATTTATTTAGTAAATGCAGTTGTGTGGATACGTTGTCAGTTGATAAACCACGATGTAGTGTACTCAATAAGACACAAGGTATGTATGTCGATATACTAGACGTATACACTATATCTATATACCACGATATGTGAGTTCAGGAAATAGGTGTGACAATTATTTGTTTCAGATGTCTGTAAACAATTGATGAATTATTTCTATCAATCAAATCTCCTCTCGTGTGACTGTCAAGTGCCATGCCGATAAGTCAGAATAACGTCTCATAAAACAATTTAGTTGGGTGAAAATAGATTACTGTGGTTGCTTCTTCTATTCTAAAGACACTAGACTGAGTTCTCGACTTAACATGCAAATACGTGTATTCATTTTCCAGAGAAGTGTCTTTTGCGAAAACGATATCACAAGCTCTTTGGCCGTCCACTGCATATCTGGTACGTATGCTACTTGGTGTACCTGTATATTTGCTATACAGTTTAGGTTTTCTGACACATACAGAAATACTCATAGCAGTCAAGCCAACATTATGAAATGTTTCTGTCACCACATAATGATAATCCGAAAACGGAGCTAGTACGTCCGTTGCCAGTTCTCTGACACTCAGTGACCGGTTCTTTTCAAACTTGGCACATGGATGCTACAAATGTTGTCTTAGCGATTCAAGTAACTTATATGCTGGTGTATCAAAGGTGTTGAGAGTGACGATAATATTATTACTGTATTCAAACAACTGTACCTGGACATGAACATTCAGGAGCGGCAGTATAGAACGTTATCCAAAGTTTGATACATATTGTCAATTTGATACATATATCGTCAATTTAAATCGATTTCTGCATATTTATCTGTTGTTGAAAAGGAATGTTTTAGGAATGCATTTACAAAATTTTGAGTATCAGCACATAGTATTCTCTGTGGACAGAGTTTGATAGACACCCACATATTGACCGTACTGACAGAGTATGTACACTTCGTGAAAATATTCCGCAGTACAACGAAGTAAGATCAAAATATCTACCCAAAATATACTATACTGTTCCATTCATTCATGTACAATTCAAATCACTGAAACACAACACAAGTTTGGTAGTTGTGTGACTGAGATTGTTTTTAACGTCATATTTCTAACTCGATACAGCCCCATCTACTGAATAGTATTCACGCTGCAAACCGTAAGACATGGGTTATAAAGGATAAAGAATCAGCAAGGTATTTGAATTACTTTATTTATTTATTTATTTATTTATTGTTGTTTGTGGTAGATTTCAAAAACCCAGAATTTCTTAATTTTTTAATATATTGTACTTCCAGGCAATACAAGAATATTGACTTTGAAAAAAATGGGGGTCACCAGGTTAATTTTCGAGAAAATCATGGTTGTATTTTAGTGGATAGCGGCCATTTTAGCAGTATTATAGTGCTTTTACCATAGGTTCTTATGGCAGAGATATTATGCCATATCTCAAATTGTAGGCTGGTGACATAGGCTGAAAAAATAATATATTGTTAATGATGGCCTACTTTTTGTTTTCCTGATTTTTTTCAAAAATCTGGGTTTTAAAAAGTGTTGAAAAATGCAATTTTTGTTTAACATTGCGCTCTATGGAATTGTTCTAAAAATAGCTATTTTTGAAAAAATGTAGTACAAGTTTCTCAAAATTTGTCACTGTAACACACAATAGAATGCTATTTTATGGTGCCATGGGACAATAGCTTAATGATTTTACATAATAAACCAATGAACATTGTCATGTGATTTATGACACAATTTCTCAACAAATATGAGTAGGCTTCTACCTTAACTCTCGGTGTTTACTAGTATCTCGTGATTTTACTTGTGCATGTGCTTAACTTACTCACTGTCACTGATGCATGCAGGGAAGACTTGGTACGTCTTGAAGTCTATTTTGAGGATCTGAACATCAACCTTGTTAGCGAAGAAGAGGGATATCCGGTAAATAAAGTGATTTTCCTAATTACTAGTATATCCCATGACCAAGGTATACGTCTTCAACAGCGCTAACATATTTCACGCTAAACGTAGCGATATGCACGCTTGACGTCATCAGTTTATGTGTAATTGAGCAGTACAAAATTCCAATGGCGCGCCAGCCGACGCGCGTAGACGTTACGTCTCACGGCATATGATTCATAAAGGAAGTTAAACTCACGACTTCTCTGACGTTTTGAAACTCGAAATTGGTCATGTGATTAGATGCCGTCTGATATCTTTATTTGATCTCAGAGCTCAGACTGTTTGATACTCATGGCGCCATGGGCTGTATTATCCACTAACCTTCGTCAATCGTGTCAATGTGCTCTATGATACTGACGTCAT